ACTGTATAAAATCCTAAAACACAGTATATACAATATTTGTTCAAGTAGGCCCCCTAGTGGCCTGTGTTTGGTTAAGCCCTGCTCCTGATCTGCTGCCACCACATGTTGGATGTGGAATGTCATGTAACTTGTGTGGATGTGGTGTTTATTTATTTATTTATTTTTACAAAAGTTCAAAACAGTATAACATGCCAGTGAGCACAGATATCTGAATGCCAACAAATGCTGGAATATGCTTATTTTATAATTTGCATGTCTAGAGGAGAAAAAACCTCTGAATATCAAAACATCTGAGGAATGAATAAGAGTGGGAATGACAGGTAAGGAAGTGCCACACCTATGAGTCACACATACAGGGACAACAAAACAAGACCCAAAAAGAGAGTTAAAAAACAAACAGAAAGAGCAGGAGGCAATGGAGCTATTCATGAGGGGGAAGATGTGTATGCACTCAAGTACACATGTACTTCAATGTGTTTCTTGGAAAAAAAACCCCTTAATCATCTGTTCTTCTGATGTGCTCTTTTATAAACAGATTTATAAAGTTTATAAAGTCTGAGACATTGTGATAGTGATAGATATTTATTGACTATCACTTTGAAAAATACACCATTTCTAACTACTGGTGACTAGTATACAAGATCATATGACCATTATTTAAAAAAACATATTATTATATATCCCAACTTCCTAAATCCTAAATCATAGTGGAATTGATCTGTTTCACTCATGCATAAAAAAGCTGTTTGATGAGCTCTTTAGACTGTGCAAAATAGCTGTTGCGCTCTCAGTGACTTCGGTCACTTGTGAGCAGAGTTTCTCCACATTAAAATGAGTAAAAACCTGCCTCCCGTCCACCATTACTGATGAGCGTCTTAGCAATAGGGGTGCTAGGCATTGAATCCAGAAAGGCCAAGGGTTTAAAAATTAATGTATTTGTGGACTGTTTTGCAATGAATCGGTAATGAAGAATACTTTTATTATAATGTTACATACTACTGCGCTGCCAATGCTAAAAGATGAGACACTACTGAACAGAAAATATGAGTGTACATTTACAAATAAATACATAACTACATAAAAAGAAAAATATCTTGAATAAAAAGTAAAATTTGTCCAAAGATTTATTTATGTTTAGTAATCTAGTAAAAGATTTAGAAATCCCTTGGTTCAAACTCATTTTTATGTTTAATCTTTACATGTTATTTTCGTTTGTGCTCCAAATAAATTCACTAAATATATTAAAAAATTAATTATTGCCCCCCCTTTTTTTGTTCTGTGGTCCCATTAAAAAACCGTGGCCCCACCCTGGTCCCCCTCGCAAATTTCTTCTCGAACCGCCAATGCATCTAAAGCTGGTTAAAGCTATCTGTAGAGAGTTTGGCGGCTGCTGCGATCTGATTGGTAAACCCTCGCACGTTGTGGGCGGGGTTAGTTTTTGGGCAACAAGCTGTACTGGTGCGATAGGAAGACACAGACAGCATGTGCACGCGCTGATTTGGAAGTCATGAGCGTAAAAATCCACAGAGGCTCCTTCTAACCGAAGCGGACACGTCTGCTTGGCGGTAACGCTGATGTTAAACAGGGTCTAATAATGTTTTAGTCGATATCACCAACTTTCGACAACGTCGTGACTTTGGTTTTACTCGAACAAGGAGAAGCAGAAGAGAGAGAGGAAAAAAGAAAGCCGTGTCCTCTAATGGGCTCGCGGCTCCTGACCATAATGAACCGGACAGGTGTGCTTGCAGGTTAATTAATTGCTACCTTTTGTTTTGAAGTAGCAGAAGGCGACGCAATGGAGAAGAAAGAGTTTGTGGTGTCTGAAAGAGGCGAGAGCCAGTCGTCGTCGGGCTCCCAAACCTTGTCTGAGGGGGAAGAAATGACGGCTGCTCTGGACATTAAAGTTTATGGTGATGGCGAAGACAGGCTCAGCTTGCACTTTGAAAATGTGAACGAGGTGGAGGACGGCAGAAATGTGGAATCTGACAAGGAGACCCCAGGAGATGGGGAAGAAGACGAAGAGGAAGGAGAGGAAGACGAAAAGGTAAACACAGTGATCTGCTAAACAAAACAAGGGTCGACTCAGACACGCAGAAAACCAAACGATTACCCGATTAATTAATTATGAGCACATAGAGACTAGATGGCTTTGGTTACCGGTTATTCATTTAATTTTCAAAGCGAAAGCTAATACCAAAATAGTAACTGATTCCAGCTTCTCAAATGTGATACTTTCATTCTCGTTTTTGTTAGACATTCAAATAAAATGTCCGTAATAAAAGTTATTTCCATTGATATACACATCCAATTAATTGCCCCCTCATCCAGCAAGAAAGCAACCACTCCTGAGGAAGGTAAACTCATTACATTTGGTCCTACAGTCAAAATATTTGTGAACCAGTTGATCAGCTGTGCTTGAGCTCATGCTTGCTGGGTTACACTCCGTCATGACGTCAGTGCAAAGTTAAACTATTATTCATGCTGTTGTCTTCATCCACTCAATTTACAAGTTTTCAAGTCGAGATACATTCCTCAGCACATGCGCACTGCTCTGTTTTACTGCAGCTCCTGCCTTTTTCAGAGGCATAAATAGATCATCTGTAATTAAATGCCTGTCAGTCTTCCCCACTGCTTTGGAGGTGTTTTCTCAAACCTCAAAGACAAAGACTGTCTGGATGGAGATTTGGACTATCCAGTCCAAATCTGCCCCTATTTTATAAACCAAAACAATGTTGGGTATGGCTTATATCCAAAACTTGAAAAAGTTATGCATTAAATGAAAGAGGGCAGGTTCATCGCAAAATGCAATGTGATTTTAGAGCAAATGTGTGTAAATTGTTTCATTGTTAGCTCTGTAACTATGCTGTAACGCTAACACACAAATGGCACAATCTGGGACTTGCTGTTGTGATCCCAAGTGGTGCTCATTCAGGAAACAGATGAGAAAAATGAGGAAGACAAAATACATGTATCAGCCTTTTAATTTATATAAGGCTTTACATGGATTCTTCTGCAGACTGGTTTAACTTGCTCCAGTACGCACAATGTAGCCTGGGTGTGTTTGACTATTGCAAGCTCCCGACTGACCCATAAACATTTTCCAAGTCATGATATCATGCAACATTACTTAGGGCTGTAGGTGTGGTTGAAAAAAATGCCATATGTCTCATTTTTGAGGCAGTAGGGAAATACAGAAATTTTGTGTAATGATTTGCATGTCTTACTTCACACGTTTTAACTCTCATATCTGTGTTGGAATCAGAATACCAACTGATTCCTGCACACCAATCAGATTCCTGATTTCTGTGTGTAATTATTTTCATTAATTATAATTTGCTGGTTTTTAAAATGGATAAATTAGTAATTGAAAGCATAACAGACTTTCCAACACACACGAGCCCAAAGATGATGCCCCTGGGTTGGTGTCATGTTTAGTAACAGTGATGCTCAGCTAATTTAGTTGGGGTGAAAAGCAGTTTGACAGTTCATTACCTCAATAGAGCTGAAGTGTTACAGACGAGGAGGCAGGCCTGAGATTGGTCTCTTATTTCACTTTAGCTTTACTGAACTTAAACCAAATGTAATCCATTTAAAAAAAGAAAAGAAAAAGAATTTTCCTTAATTTTGCAAAAGAGTCACACAAAGCCTGTGCACATTTCTCCAGACTGCTTTCAAATGCCATTTTGAGGTTCATTTTAAACCGTTGACCTCTACTGTGCTGGCCACAGAAGAAACAATGTAATTTGACCTGGTATACTGAACTAAGCCAACGTGTTGCTGCCTGGAACTCCTCAAAGCAGGTCACATAACCTGTCAGTGCAGAGAAGCGTTCCAGTGGTATTACTGTAGGGTTAATCAGGAACCCTGACTAATGACCTTTTTTTTGCCCCTGGGGGTTTAAAGAAGGAAAGTCTTCTGAGAACTCGTGTGACATGACTTCAGCAGGCTGAGCAGCTCAGTTACTGTTCGGTCTCCAGACTTACTACTGTTTCAAGTTCCAAAGATGGTATGGCCATGTTTCATAGAGTAAGTTTCCACATTGATAGTATGATGCCTGTCTTCCTAAGATCTCTGTATAATTGCATAGTGCTTCGTTTCAGACGTCTAAATCTGTCCAGGGCTGTGGGCAGTGACTGAGAACGTTATCTACAGTCAGGACAAGATTATCCCACGCATAATTCTTCTCTTTTATGCACAAGACAACAGAAATGGATGAAAATGAGCAACATACAGTTCAGATTTATTAACAGAGTTTGGCTCAAGCTTGTTGTATGTAAACAGTTACTGGGAAAAGGTTAAGATTGGAAGTATTGCTACTGGTTGCACCCATAATTCACTGTCCAAACACTCTGTATGGATGTTTATAAAGCACTTGTATGTGTTTCATAGTTCTGCAGCATTCACTTGAGAGGCCAGCATGTTTATCAATGTATCTGGAGTATGCAGCTGTTAACATGACCTTTTTCAGTTTCCCATCAGTCTGATTTAGGGCTGCGAATAGCTGCTATTAATTAATCACTTCTTTCCTTGATTTTATTTATTATTTAATATTTTTGTTCTTGGGTGTTCCCAGAGTAGCTCTACATGATTCATATTTATCTGATATTGAGCCTTGGTCTAGTCCCTTACGTCGTCTTCTCTCTGAAACGAGTCTTTTTGTGAAGTCTCTTTTTTTAGTATGTTTTCCTTTTAAGGCCACCCTCGCTTTGAGCCAGTTGAGTTCGGATTGGTTGCCCCTCACTAAAGATTTAAACAGCATGTGGGTTGGGCTTCTGTGCTCGTCCCTGGAGCCACGTTCCTGAGAAGACTCCATTATGGTTAATTACTCTTGCTATTACACAATAGTATAAATAGTAGTAGGTTCACTTCTACTGAGGAAGCAATCAAAATACTTAAATATGAATTTTATTTAACAAGTGTTAAAGCTTTGGAAAAAACAAACCCTAAATTTTAGACCATGGCCCAACATTCTGTGCTTCACTTGCTTTTAGAGGTGTTACAGATGACAGCTATCCAAAGCTACTGTCCACACAGTCTTGACTCACTGCTTCATGAAGTATGAAATCTGTCAGCTTGTTAATCATTGTGTTTTCTTTGTCTTTATATATCCTGCTGCTTTTATGCCCTCTCATAATCATAAATCCTGTTTCCTACTTTCTCATTTCTAACTATCCTGTTGGGTCAGCAGAATATGGATATTTCCAATTGTTCATTTTTTAATAGTGTTCTTCCCTGGCTGTTGTTGCCATAACAAATATCCTTTCTGCAGAAGGATACTAAATATTTCTTATCTTTAGAATTCATCGCTAACTCTGACACTTTTAATCAGTATTCCCGCTAGTATACGATGTGGATAGATTGCAGGGACTTGAGTCAATTAAGAAGAAAAATGACAACTTTTGCTATTCTCCCCACATACTGAAGTTGGCACTTTCTGACTTCAATAAAGAAAATATTTCATTCTTAGTCATTAAACAATCCTTAAGTGACTGAAATGGTTTTTGTAAAAGAACATTTGATAATGTTTCATTAGGAAAGAGGGTGCACAGAGAATTGTTTGTGTCTGCAGCTCACTTTGGCAATCTGGACATTTATAGCAAGCTTCAGCTCATTGTTCACTAGGGATAGGAATTGAGAACTGGTTTTGTAGAGAACCGGTTCCCAGTAGTCCAATTTCTTGGAATGATTAGTCTGTCTATCAATCCTGCTTACTGGTTCCAGTTGTACTTGCAATACAATCAGCTGATTTCAGTTTATGTGCCGGAGGAGGAAAATAGTGGCGGAGTCTGCAGCGTGGATATGAACATTTCCTTTTTTTTTTTATTACACCAAGGACAAGAGTGCAGTGATAAAATAGAAACTTCACCAGGAAAGAAACAGTTGCTCAACGGCTGCTTATACTGCTAACACAACTTTGGCTCTTTGCAAGGACCTGCACAGACAGCATCCTAACACTAAGCTAGCCAAGAACCCAGAGTGATGTTAAAGCTGAGTGACTGCAAACTGCAGCCCAACAGCCAGACGCTGAAGTTCAACAGGTAACAAATTGATGAGGCTGTAGCCTCCGTTTCTACCTGTTTCTGCAGTAGAAAACAAAGAGGGGAATACCTCCTACATACACAAACATTTGACTTTACAGCATGCATTTAATATGACGAATATAATGTCTTTATATGCTGCTTAGTGATGGTGGTGACTCTTGACACGGAGCCGTGTCCATGAGTATATGTATTACCATGAATGGTGTAATGTATGGGGCAGTCAAATCATTTACAACTAGCTTGTTAGTCAGCTGTGAAAACAAACAGCTCGTTCTCAGCACTTCCCTATGGAGCAGTAAAGTCTGAACGAACTTTGTTCAGATGAAGACTAACCATGTGTTAGACTAAGCAAATTTCATCACCGAGACGATTAAACAGCTGTAAGGGTGGTGTTTTTATGTCAACATGTATCATGTATGACATGAAAAGATGTGTCTATTTGGCTATTTGCTTTTAAAGAAAAAAAAACAATTCTTTATACAAATAATAAAAAATGCAGCCACTGAGACAAGTATGGAAATTGGTTTATTCTCACATCTTAGATACACTTTATAAATATTAGATAACCTTTCTGTCTGTTTAAACATACTTCATAGCCAAAGAATTTTTCTGCATACACTAGTGCTTCATGTGATATGCTTTCTACTACACCTCTGTCTACAAATGCAGTTTCCTCCACTGGCTTAGCCTTTAGTTTCATAGTTTGACTGTTTCAGCACTCAAATGAATTCATCAAAAGTCAGCTATTCTGATAAATGACTAATTATATGAGTTTCAACACCACAGGGATAAGCTGCTTTTCTCTGATTTAAGTTGACATTTTAGGAAGTGTTTTTCATAGTTTTCTGACTTTTATCAGCCACTTAATTAATCAAAAGGGTTCTATAAGGATTCTTTCTTGAATTATTACGCAGTTTTCTACTGGGGACGTGGCAGCACAGAGAGGGATAGGAAACAGATTGAAAGAGTGGTAGAGGGCGAGCTCTGTCCTGGCTGGTCCCAT